CAACTCTAAAAACTAAAGTACCCAGTCTGTGTCGACAACTGCCTTTTGCATCGCACCCTTGATCCATCAAGGTAAGACACATTACTGTTCATTCTAATGAATAGTAGGATAGATGTAAAATCAAAGCAGAAATCAATAAGTTTTTAATTTTTTTTATTAAGCAAAATCATCTCTCATAACTATGTAATAACAAATGAATATATATGAATAGTATGTTACAGTAAACTAGAGGTGGTTCTTATGAAAGAGGGGTGACCAATTATTTTAGTTTTTACGAGACTAAAATTAAGTGTTATTCTTGGGTTGAACTTTTTTCCGACTGCGCCAAAAGGAGATTTATATATTCGAGTGTATGTATAATTATTTATTTGACACGCTCTGCAGTATAAACAGTTTGATAGATTTAGGCGTTTGAGGTGTTGTTATATTCGTCTAAATTGTGGGAGTGACACTGACAATATGAAAATTTCACTATCAATGTTTTCTACTTAAACATAGACAACTCCCGCACTCGAACTATATCCTGTTTCGCGGAGGACTTCACGAACATTCATGAAGCGGATACAAAGAACACCCACCCTAAGTGTTGTCCAATGGGGGAGGGGGAGGGGGGGGGGGGGGTCGAATCCAAAACACTCAGCGCAGTAGGACAATGAAGCATGCAGTCAACTGAAATGTTTCACATCATCACATCAGCAGCCTTTCATAGTAAACTGCTGGACATAGGCCTCTCATTAGAAATGAGGTTTTGGCCTACTATATCACGCTGGCCAGACGGGTTGATATAGGGTTTGTTTCAAGTTTTCCATCTCTTTGCAGTGCTGTTGTCCTGCGTAGTTTGATCCCTTAGTCGGCTCTTACGACGCCCACGGGATGAATACTGGTGGCGACACTCTGTATTCTTCTTCTTCTTAATCCGTCACCACACGGACAACCAAACGTCTGAAATGTTTGAACCCTGTTTAACAGTCTGATAGAAACTTGTATCTGGTGTTTGTCGACCCAGATAAGGCGTATAGAGCATTTAAGGAACAAGCAGAGAAATATACATACATACACACGAAATGTAGGTCGCCCACAAGCCAAGTGGAGTGACAATTTGCGCTATATAACTGGCAGGAGCTGGACGCGAGAAGCCCAAAAAAGATCTAAGTGGCGTGCAATGGGAGAGGCCTATGTTTCATCAGTGGGCTGCGATAGGCTGACGATGAACACGCGAAATACAGGTGAACAACAAAATACAACAAACTAGGGACATAATTGTCGTTCTAATGAAATATTTTCGAAATAGGCAAAAACTCAGACACTTTCCGAATCATGTCAGGACTAGACTTAAAAATACTAAAAAATATTTGAAAAATAATGTCAAATACAACTTATTATAACTAATATATTCATACAAAACAGAGACAAAGAGAAGCGATATAAATAATGTTTGCGGTCTCTTTTCAGTATTGTTTTATAAAATCTTAATTATTAAAGCTAAGGCTTCGGGCTTACTATCAAGTGGTACTATCCGTGTGGTGACGGATTTCGAATACATAGTGTCACCCCCTATTGATCCCGTGGGTGTCGTAAGAGCCGACTAAGGGAGCAAACTAAGCAGGACAACAGCACTGCAAAGAGATGGAAAACTTGAAACAAACCCTATATCAACACGTCTGGCCAGCGTGGCATAGTAGGCCAAAACCCCTTTGATTCGGAGAGGCCTATGTCTAGCAGTGGACTAGTAAAGGCTGTTGATGACGATCAAGTGGTTAACCCAAAACCAGACTGCGAGAGAGCCTTGCGTTGGCTTAAATAGACCAGAGTGGTAGAACAGCCTCACAGAAGACCAGACCAGAGAGGCAATTCTTACCTTGCTGACGAGTGACTGAGGTTTCCAGAGGCCTAACTAATCTCCCCTCTTTCCTAGTTCTAGGGGGCATTCAAAGTAGGGATGGAATAAATCATATAATGACACCTTTGACTAATTTACAAAACCACTGCGACTATTATTATTATTATGCTAGCGCCAAACGGTCGTTATTTTTGAAAAATAGAATTTTGACTGATGTGAACGCCACTTATCTTTGTCTATGACCAAATCACAGTCCCACGTGAAATCGCAGTGATTAAAACCAATCATTTCATCATATAAATATGATTTAAAGGTACCAATAATTTGCATGTCTAATTCAAAGGTGTGAGTTTTGGGTGTTCCTGACCAGCGGTATTCCATTAGGTGTTCTAAACGTACTTCAGATGGGTCAGCTGTGACTTCGTTAGTGGTCATCCAAAATAAAACAATCATAAATTACAAAAAAAACTTTATTTTTTAACTTATTTTACAATCGAAAACATAATATCTTATGTTTCACATGTGTGTATTCATTTTAATATAAAAAAGTGTTGTATCTAATTTGTTAAATACATGGTTAATGTATAAATACCGAGGTGAACCACTTGGATATCGTACCAATTCTACGTGACCCATTTTTTACCCCCCTCCACCCCCTTTGGTGACCACCCGTTTTATTTCCTTTTTCTTTTCTCTTAAAAAGGCAACTCCCGCACTAATAATATATATCCTGTGTTGCGAGGGACTTTACTAACATTAATGAAACGGACACAAAGAACAAGCCAGATTCAGAACACTTGTGGATGAGGATCGAACCCGCGCAACACTCAGTAGAAAGCGGCAAGGTGACCGCTTACACCACTACGCCATCCGTGCAGTCAAAAAGTTTATGTATGGTCTTCTTGGTCTTCTAGGTATTAACTATTTGACTGCCTCGGTGGTGCAGTGGTAGCGTATGCGACTGCTGTGCTGAGTTCTCGGGTTCGATTCCCGGGTCAAACCAAAAGTTTGTATGCTCTGCAGATATTTGTTTCAGAATTTGGGTGATTTCTATTTATAATATATATGTATTTATAAAGAAAAACAGTTTGTAATTATTCTATTAGGCAATCTAGCTTTCATAGTAGAAGGTCTGTTTAGTTTGAAACTAGATGGCGTTGTGTGTCAGATGCCCGAAAATATTTTTATTATTACACTAGCTGGTACCCGCGACTTCCGATCCCGGGAAGCCCACTAGGTTGGATTCCCGGACCGTACAAAATTTTAAAGGGTTTTTCTAAGAGGGAAAATAGCCTAAGTTACTACTTATATAGACAGCTACCTGTTAGGAAATTATTATTAAAATCGGTTTAGCCGTTTAGAAGATTCGGGTAATCTTCTGAACGACTGGACCGATTTTACAAACAAACAGACAGACAAAAAAAACTGGCTTTTAGGCATAGGTATCGTGCAAATAACCGTGTGAGCATGAAAAACACCTATTATCTTGACATTACAAACAGACACTTCAATTTTATTTATTTGTATACATATCCTAAAACTAAATCATTGTTTGCAAACAAAAAGTTAGACAAAAATTGATTTATATTTCACTTCACTAATACAGCACTTGCCATTTACGCTATTAAGTATGTGACGAAAACCTAAGCCCACCCCCAGCAGTGATCAAGCGTGGTATTTTGAAGACTACCCACCTAAATGGGTTACGTAGTATGGGTACGTTCCCTTACACGTAAATACAAGTTGTACTTTATAGTATAGGGAGCAAAATAGCACCCGTGTCACCTGATAGAAAGTGACTACCGCCACCAATGAACGCCTGCAACGCATATCTAGCTGTACTTACAGGATGAATAGCAATTTAGAAGGTAAATAGCGATATTACTAGATAAATCTTGTTTGCAATTTAGAAATTTATTTAAAACTAGCTGACCCGGCAAACGTTGTTTTGCCAAAAAAAATTTAGGGATGGGTCACCCTGACCATTTAGGGGTATGAAAAATAGATGTTGGCCGATTCTCAGACCTACCCGATGTGCACACAAAATTTCATAAGAATCGGTCAAGCCGTTTCGGAGGTGTACAGGAACGAACATTGTGACACGCGAATATTATATATAAGATAATCAATCCAATTTATGTAATAGAATTTTGTTTTTGTACGTTTTTAAAACCTTTATATGAAATTAAATCACACTCAAATTTATTGTAATAGTAATCAAAATTGGCCCCAATATAAACACTCAACCACTTAAAGATTTATTGGACAAACAAACAATGTACCTGATGGTAAGCTATCACGGCACTTAAAAGCTAAAATTATTTCATATGCATTAGTATATTGGTTCCCGATATGAAACCAAACTACAAACATATGGTGAGACTTTTTGACGTGACAACGTCTTATAAATTGGTTTGCCGGGTGACACTTCAAGAAACTGCGTTACGCTCCGCTCACGTTATGCGCTCACAATGAGAGCGAGTGAGAGGCACGCGTCCCTTCCACTCGGGCATGGTTAGCCCGCCTAAGAGCGAGAGAGACAGACATAAAAAGTGAAAGGCATTTTAAATATAATTCTTTGTATAAATAAATGTTTTAAATTGTTACTATTATTTCATCCTTCTTCCTACTAAACGAATGAATATTCACATTAAAATTATTTTACCACTCAAAGTCGTTGTCACGTAAAACTTTCGCCCGTATACCGACTTTACAGGCAACCAATTTTTTTTAAATATACTATTTAGGATATGGCAGGCGAGTATACAACCAGCTAAAGGCAAGCGGCCACGATCAGTTAAATTTGATTTTAATACAACTACCCAAAATCGAGTCATGTATGTATGTATGTGTCTTTATTCTAAGATAACTTCTAAATGCCTTAACAGATTCTTTAACTATTATTAGAATCCATAGAACATTCTAAATGACACTGGGTACAATTTCAGCATAGTCTTTTTTTAAATGATTATCACAATGCAAGATATAATTGAGAAACAAAATATTAATCAACAGCCTTTAGTAGTCCACTGGCCTCTCCTTAAAAAGGTTTGGGTCTACTATACCACGTTGGCCAGACGGGTTGACAGAGACGGACAAAATATAATATATATATTAATGAATACACACACCGATCAACTTTATAGTGTACAGTTCACAGTCACTCCATCTCCATTGCATTCTTCATATAGTTTTCTAGTTCTATATCTAGGGCTGCCTTAGAACTGGCCATGTACTGATCTAGTTGGCGGTCTAACTCTTCTTTGGTGATTGGTTTTTGCTGTGTGCGGGTGACGCCTCCTGTGAAGTATTAGGCAGTTAATTAATTTCATTTGTAACTGTAATATAGATACGACGATATATATATGACGGGCTAGTTGGTGTAGTGGTTAGTGACCCTGACTGCTAAACCGGAGGTCGTGGGTTAGATTCCCACCCAGGACAAATATTGTCATTTGTTCTGTGTCTGTATGTAATTTATCTATAATATGTATCTATTTAAAAATATATAAGTATGTTTATCAGCAGTCTGGTTACCATAGTACAGGCTCTGCCTAGTTTGGGATCAGTGTGTGTGAGATATATTATTATATAAATAGTGGGTAGATAAGTAACTTCAAGTACTAATAATGTAGCAAACCAGCTAATAAGTGGTCATGGTAACAGAATAGTGACGGTTTAAAAAATATTTTTTTTTTGTTTGTTTGATAGGCGCTCAAAGTAAATTGAAGCATTTAATTTTTCTAGAAAACTGTGTAATTATTTGGTATTTATATTGCATTTTAAAGCCAACCATATTTTTCAATTCTATGCCAAATTTCATAATTAGATTTAGAATTAAGAAAGTTATGTCAAAAAAACTGAACATAATTATTTGAAATGGCTGCTCTGTAAAGTTCAATAAATGTCAGATCCGACATTATTTTACGATTATGACGACATGTTGTGCATCATTAATAATAATAAGCCTTTAATACTTTAATTCCGAAGTTATACAGTTTTTCATACTACTCAATAATCCCTAGTACATTAGTCATAATATGTCGCAAGTTCGGTGTGCCTTACGGCATAGGCCTCCTCCAACGTCTTCCACTGTTTCCTATCGGTTGCAATCCTTAGCCAAAGGGGACCTAGGGTCAATTTCAGATCATCCTCCCCTCTTCTCACTTTTGTCAGTTATGTCAGTGACTGTTTGTCATCATTTTTGTTTTGCTCGAGTTCATTTCCAAACCCACTTCTCGACTTCTGTCTGCCAGCGTTTGTATCATGGACTCCAGTAATCTTTGGTTCTTCTCCATTATGTGAAAGTTGTGCATCATTCCAGACCCTTATTTCAAGCAAGAAAGTGTATCCTTCTTAAGACATAAGTAACTTGTAGGGAAAGTATCCTAACATAACTTACAAAACATAATATAATAATATTCTCTGCGACATATATAATGTGTACCTACTATGGCTTATAAACCTATATATTCAAGACAGTTTAATTTCTTCCTCAGACTTCCCGAGTGTCATAACTCAGTGTGTTCGTTGGTCACTGCTGTGGATTCTGGTATACAGGAGTTACAGTGGTGGACGTGTGGGTGGGATACGTTTTTTTCATTCCAATTTTACATACAACACTAACACTAATGCAAATATACAGATTTTTTAATATACAAACATTTACAATTAGCGGGTATCGAACCCGCGATTCATAACGTTGCAATCGAGTGCTACTTATAAAATCCTTTTTGAAAAAAGAGTTGAACATACATAAAAAAAACATGCGAATTGATAACCTCCTCTTTTTTGAAGTCGGTTAATAAACATCGTTATCGACCCTAAATAAATGTGGGTAGTCAGATAATGAAGCGGGAAGTACTCACCCCTCCCCCGCGCCGCCCCCCGGCCGCGCCGTGCGAGTGGTGCGGGCTGCGCGCGGTTTCTCTGCGGCACGCGGTACTGTGCGCGGGGAGCGCCGCCCAGCCCGTTCCTACCGCGGGCACCCCGACCTCTGTAATATACATACATACACCATGGATAAGTATCAAATATAGGATTATTTACCTTCTATAATAGTCCTATTTAAACCGATTGCATTACCAATGAGGATTTACGTAAAAGAAACGTATTCTATAACACACACACACACACACATAGCTCCAAGTTAAACTTAGTCAATTAAATAAATATAGATTATAGTAAACTGCGATCTCTTCCTATTGTTTCATTTGAGATTTATAAAAGATTCTAATATTATTGCTACTGTCCTAATGTATAATCGTTTTTGTATTGATAGTCTCGATACAGGCTAAGCCTAGTGTGGCTATCATTGTTAAACAAATTCTGTAAATCTTTACTTTAAATTAAGTTATTATTGTTATTATTATTACTATAAGCAACTACTCACTTGGAGTGTGATATATCAAAAATAAATGATAATCAATCTCCTCGCGTCGCCACGCTATATGATAGTATATGTAACATGTAACGTGATGTGGTGACGGTCGCCATGTGCAATTGACTAAGTAACTGCGACTTTCACACACTGATTATCAAAGTGATTTTATACTCATTATTTCTATAAAATAATTTCTATGTTTCACATTTGACAGGCGTCCTGCGTTTTAAAAGGCTATTAACCACGACTTTTGGCACGCAGATGTGTGCGTAGAAAGTAACCCTTGATTTTTTAAAATTTAAGGGTTATTTAAGAGATGGGGACATGGAAAAGGTGGAGGGACATTTTCTTGACTGTAATAAACTTGATTTTGCCGATGACTTCGCTCGATACCTGAGTCACTGGGACAAAACAGGTGAGACAAACACTTAACATATCCAGGTTTACTGTATATCAGGTATGTGTGGAGCAATTTACCTGAATCGTCCCCTGAGCTGGCGCTGAACGCCTGCGCGCCGACGGAAGCCACGCCAGGATGCACTCGTCAAATTGCTGAATGAAGCTGACCTACTAAATAAAATAAAAAAACTGTTAGATATTTACTCGCTATACATTCTGTAGATTAAATATAAAAATTAGTAACTGTAACAAGAGTAGCAAGGGACAGGACCCATTGGAAGGAATTGGAGGCCTAAACCAAAAGGCACACCAAACTTAGGGACCTCTTGTAACCCTATGTTTAGGAATAAAAGGCTATTATTATTATTATTATTACCTGTAACAATCACTACTAAAAAATGATTTTGGTCTAGCTGTACGAGGTTATATCCTAATAATCATTATGAACAGCCTTTAGTAGTCCACTGCTGGATATAGGCCTCTCCTTAGAAAAGGAGGTTTTGACCTACTATACCATGCTGCCCAAACGGTTTGGTATAGGGTTTGTTTTAAGTTTACCCTCTCTTGGTAGTGCTGTGGTCCTGTGTAGTTTGTTCCCTTTAAGGGGTCTTACAACAACCACGGGATGAATAGGGGTGGTGATACTTTGTATTGTTAATCCATCATCACACAGATACCCTAAGAATAATATTAAATAATAAATTGCTTATAATAGACAGCTCCCGCACTAGGAATATATCCTGAGTTGCGGGGACTTTACAAACATTAATGAAATGGACACAAAGACTCAGAAAACAGTTTGTGAACCGCACAAAGTGTTGTCCCATGTAGGGATCGAACCCACAACCCTCAGCGTAGTATGAAGCGGCGAGGTGACCGATTAAACATCTACAGATGGCGTAGATGCAGTCCCAATAAGGTGCTGACTGAAGTCACACTATGACTCACTTGCATACTGATCAGTCTTAGCAGACTAGACATCTGAATATTTGTAGGAACTATAACAGGGCACCCAGCCCTAAACCAACGACTATTCACCATTAATGCGACGGATAGTACTCTTTGCAGAGGATATGTGAAAGCAGAAGAAACGGCCGCCCACGTAATTCTGGGTTGTGAGGGAGTGGCCACACAACGGGTAAGTATCATACCTGATACAAAATCGCTCCTAGAGGGATGTGATTTTTACGAAAACTCTTTTTTAGTAGTTTGTCTCGTGACTACATATAAATAAGTTTTAACTACTAAAATATTTTTAAAGAATTTCAAGGATATTATGTAAATAATAATTAATTACATATCTGTTTGTATTTTTTTAACATGAAATTGTGTCCTACAATAAAATAAGTTGCATTTACAGTATATGAGAAAACTAAATCGACCATCTAGCATTGAAATTGATCAAGACTTACAGAGCATCCGTACAAGTAAGTAATTGTCCTCTCTTTTTAACTCGGGACTAGATACAACGGCCTAGGATTTTTTTTTTATACCTGTATTAATTCTCACCTACTGAAATAAACCAGGTAAAAAAAAATCTATTGTAAAATTAAGGAAATTTTTATTTGAACTACTTTGTCTAACTTTTACCGTTTTCGAGTAATTGTAATAAAACACTTCAAATTTTTTTTCAACTCAATAAGGGTTGCAGACATGAAATCCTTTACACATTGTTTTATCATTAAAACTACATTATATTAAAAATGCAAAGTTGAGTTAAATAGTAAACCATTAGATTATAAACACATCTAGTTAATACTAACCTTAGATTTCCATTGTTTCTCCAAGAAACTCTATTTTTAACACTTTGTTGGCTTAGGTTGCCAAAGCTATTTGATCTCCTCAATCTCTGCAAATTGCTTTCACTGCCAAATCTGCGTATTCCTGTTTGTGGTATGCCCAGGCGTTGTCTCAGAGCCTGTGGAACAGAAAATAAATGATATTAGACATATAATAATTACAAAGATATCATAAACTAGATGATTATTTAGCTAATCAAAATGCTTGGGAGCACATTAGTTCTGCTTTAGTAGATACAAGTCTTGTTTAAGTAGGGTTGTGGTTTGAAAATATTATATTCTGATAACCGTTGGGGTAAACGAGTTCTTGAGTGAAGACCGCGTCTAGGCAAACATAATGCCATATTATATAGATTAAAATAACAACTGTTAGTGGTAGCTACATTTACTACAGATTACGTGTGAATATATTACTTTCGGACCTGACAGGGGTCTATTTGGGCCAAAGAGGGAACTTATATTTGATGACAAACACAGTTAAATGACTACTAGTTTGGCATCGTGAATCATACAAGTAAGTAATATAATAATAATATTCTATCACATTCACACAACACCATTTAGTCCCGAACTAAGCAGAGCTTGTACTATGGCTTCTAGACATGTGATATAAATACATATATACTGTTTTTTGTAAATACATGAAGACCATGTAATTATTATACACAGAAACACCCAGACCAAATTAAACATTAAATGTTCATGCACACAAATGTTTGACTAGAGCAGGAATTGAACCCGCAACCTTTGGAATAGCAGTCCATTAACAAACCACTACACCATCCGGTCGTCAATGACAAAATGTCAATGAGTAAAACATGTACCTTTAATAAATATGTTATTTTGCCATTGAAAACATTAATAATATTGTATACTCATCTAGATGTTGCAGTGCACTAATCATTGAAAAACAGTCAATCACATTAAAAAACTTTTTGAATCTCACTTCCCTGAACTTTTTTCCAAAAAAATTGATAGAAATTTTATTTTATTGTGAAACAGTTATTTTAAGGTCAATATATAGGTTATAAAAAGCCTGTGAAAGTTGCAAAATCCTATTCAACACTTAACTAATGGCTACTTGTAGTAACCAAGACTATCTTCTTTGTAAACATTAAAGAACCGTAAAGCTGATAGATACTATTTAATGCTTGACAAGAAAGTAATAAAAATTACGAACAATAAAATTAGGCATGTAAATTAATAAACAAATAAACTTAAATCATTAGTATAAGTGACTATTTAGACTGTAGTTTGGTGGAGAATTAAATAACACGTTACCCGCTTAGCCTGCATTTCCAATTGCCGGGCAACTTGTTCAACCAATAGTTGATTTCCCAAGTTTAACTTTTGTGCTAACGATGGTCCTAGGGAGTTGCGCCTGCGCTGCTGCTGCTGCCGCATAACACGATCAGGGGCAGCTTTCGCCAAGAGTGTAAACCGATCGTTTAAACTCAGAGCGGTGGCCTGAAGACCATGTACTTTTTCGATAACCATTTCTTAAAACTGGCGGTATTTGTAAATTAAATTCCTACCAAATAAAACCGACAAAGAACTAAATTTTCAGAGTATTACACTTGCCATCACTTCAAAAACTACAAACACAGCGTTATTTGATACTGATATTTAAAAATATGCCATGCAAAAATATTAAATGACGCTCGCGCGCGGTACAACGTAACCTTAGCGATGAATGAAATGAATGATAATGAATGACACGAATTGTCACGAATGAAATGAATCAAATGGTTTACAGATGAAAAATTCTGAACAAATTACGAGGGCATTGGGTCACAAAACGCTAAATGAAATGGGTACTTATAAATGTAGCCAATAAAATGTTAAAAGAAAAGTTTGGAAGTAATTTAATAATATGTTCAAATGTATTCAGAGTTTATGACTCTTTCATGCGGCTGTTTAGTTTGACAGATTAAAACTACTTGAATGTTCAAGTAGTTAATATCAACTTTCGACAATAATTTATGATTAATTCTAATATTTTTTATCAGAATCTTGTTCTTATTCATAAATTATAAAAGTAATTTACATAAATTGAACAATTATCTATTGTGTGTGGCATTCCTGTATATGAGTAACAAGAGACTGAATTTGTGTTTTAAAGTATTTCAGTTTATTGTATATTTATCAATTTATAGATAAAAAAAATTATTTGTAATACTGATTCACTGTTTATTATTCATGCACGCATGTCTATGAGTAATAATGAGTATGTAGGTATTGCATAAAATGAAACGTTTGATTTTTGACAGCAGTACTCATAACATTGCCGACGGTATCGTACTTCTCAAGTTGCGAATATTTCACAATATTTTTACGTGAAAACTCAACCTATTACTATTCTATAATCACTTTGAAGGTAACATAATGCTATTGACTATTTTTTAGAATGACCAAAGTTGAACCATTATGTCAATTTTGTTGTTAAACATGATGTTTATACTGTAGGTCATTAAGGTTACGTATACTTTGGTAATATGTTGGAGGTGCTTATAAGCGGTCGTCACGATGACTTGCCGCTCATTTCGATCCAACCACCAATGTCGGACGTTAGCAACGGTACTCCAGTCGACGAGATCGATTGTAGCGACATGGATGCTTGCTATGAAACATTCGATAAAGATGGGTACGTGCATATGTTTACATTCGTTTTCAGTGAAAAAATAATCTGAAACTTTCAGAAACTTTTTAGAAAGTTACTGAAGTATTTGGTCGATTTTAAACTGGTTTCCCAGGATATCATTAAGTTAACATAAGTTTGCTTTAACTTTTATAACTTTTAAAGTGCACTTTTACTCTCTCCTTTAAATAAAATATAATATTGATTATTTGTTCAAGTACCAGTGCCCCAAAAATTAAAAAAGAAAACAAAACAGTTTGAATAAGTTTAAACATGTAGTTCTGTTTTTTTTTTAAATGTGTCCCTATTGTAAATATAATCACCGAGGCCTTATTCTGATTTATATCTGACCACTAAACAGAATAGAACAACACTGTAGTGTGTAGCAGATAACAAAAAAAAAAAACTACTTACCTACTGATTTTTGAACCTCTACATGTTATTTTTGTTCATATTGTTTAAGTATAACTAATATTCTAGATGATTCAATATAATTAATTAAAAGATTGTTGCCAACTGTCAACAATTAAATTTAAAAAAGTATGTAATGTTTTATATGCACATATATTACTTTGCCCAGTGCTTATTTAAATATTTTTTGATGATATATATTAACATGGATAGTTTGATGGTTTGTCTTATTTGATGGAGTTTAAATCCAAACCAAATTGTATGTACATAAGGAGCAGAGCAATATCATTATCATTATCATTATCATCAGCTTATAGCAGTCCACTGCTGGGCATAGGCCTCTCCCATTGCACACTACATAAATACGCTAGGAGCAAAAATTATCCTAATTTTACTAAATTCAAAATGTGTACCTACATTAGATGTTTTGCTATTCTGCAATTTGGAAGAACAAAACTTTACGTTTCCGGCAACTTCATGTTCCTATCATAAAGGTTTTAGTTTTGGTAGATTATACATATAAATATATATATATAAAAAAATACACGGAAGAAATACAATATACCTAAAATAAATTTTGCTTAACTTTTTGCAGAGTCGATCACGTAATACGGCGTCGATCACGCCTCATTACGAGTGGCTAAAAAAGCTGTCTGTCGGTTTTTTGTCTTTAACTATGTAGTTAATTTACATTTCAAATAAATTTAATTTATGTAGACATTTATTGTGCAAATTTATAAACTGAAACTAACGTTTTCCCTTTGCCTATTGTAAGAAGTAACTTACAATATCGTAAGACATAATAATCTATAGTTTTTTTTATTATTGTGAGTGTTGAGCTCAACATCTCGACTTTTGTCGGTTTTATAAATACCCCGTCCCGTAACACACGGGAAAAAATATATCTATGTCCCCAATAACTTCAAATTGATAAAGTTAGATATGAAAAATGAGAATTATTTACTGTAATTTAATTTTTAATGTGTAGTTTCATTGTATGAGAGGAACCTAACTAGTGTGTGTCTGTCGTGTGGTGCGTGTTATTTGCGGCCCTCCTCCTTCCTCGTCCTAGTCCTCTCTCTCTTACTATTATATTCATACAGAAAAATGCCTCATTTCTTAGAATAATATATAGTTTTTTACATTTGTATATATAGTAACATAAATTGTATCGTATATTTATCAAAGCATTTCTTTTCCTTTGTCAAATGTTTTCCTCAACAGTTTACCATATTACATAACATATACCATACAATATTAACACTGATATACTAAATTATGTTTCATAATCTCGTAGGGAATTTCCGTTAAAAATATACCGGGGTAATTAAAGTCGCCATGATAGGGTTTTACAAATCATACGCGAAGCCATAACTTTATCACTGGTGAGAGCGAAAAAAGGAATAACAACAAACATAAGAACTAATATAGCGTTTGTAAAGAAAGGCGCCACAAAAAAATACTTCACAAAAGCCGTACTCAATTATAAATACCGCCAGTGATTGGACATTACTAGTTGATATGAAAATTATTACAGAATACCGGAGGATATCTGTGCTTCGGCGTCCAGACTAGACATATTTCTTTATGCAATGTCAATTAATCGTGAAGTACTAGTAGAACTCACGGTTCGTTGCGTTCTATGCCGTGGAAGTGGGTGCGAAGGGTATTCCAGCTAAATCCCTCTATAACCTGCTTAAAGACCTTGGATTGCCAAGAGCTTCAGTAAGCTGTTTTCTTGAACGAATATCCAAAGCGGCATTGCTAGTATCAAATATGGTTAGGTAGAGTGGGTAACACAGCAGACGGTGGAGGTAGACGCTGATGCGTCGCAAGGAGTACTCCCTAAACCTATCCCTGTGTCGCAATTTCCAGGCACTGTCGAAGTCGCATGTGTTGCTCGATCAATCACGCGATGGACCCGGCACCCGTCCGGTAAATCCATGGAACGCTTAGAAGTAGGCCTTTTAATAAATAAGATACATTTTAAGTTACAGTGCTTGCTTTTTTACATTTTTATGGAATATTATTTTATTTAGACCTTTACTGTCAAAACTGTGAAATAGCGTCCAAGTTTTGGCTACTGAGTTCCTTTCAACTGTCGCTGTCGTTGTGTGTCAGCCGTGTTGTCGCTGCCCCTATAAACACTTGATTTACAAAGTTTTTTAACTGTGACCCTCCATCTAGACATAAATGATCTTAGATTTTAATATTTTTGTTTTATTAGTATTTAATAATCCAAATATTCAAGCCATTCTCTGCAACTTCATCTGCGATTATGGTCAGTTTTTATCTCCTTAAGGTCCTGGAGCGTTGTAAAGTTACCTAAAATCGTCCGAATCTAACTGCGACTTAAAGAAATTTATTCACAGACACAGATTTTCTCACACCTTCAAGGGACTGTATTTTTCCCTACCCTAAAAAAGAAATTTCGGTTTCATTATGATAGCACAGATTATACATAATTTTGAATGCTTGACCTACAATAGGAGTTTTTTTTTATTCTTTGACCTAAAAGGAGCATCTTATGTCCAAAAAATGTTTTAGTTAAAGGTACTCCATGAAGTGGATTTGAGGATGCTCACGTCCCCGATAGCCTTAGCTAAGATGAGTTTCCTTTTCAGAGACGGGAAACTTAACCTGGACGAGTTCCGTCTGATCTGCAAAGCGCTGTTCCGAAACGACAAAGGTCACATATACACCCTGCCTGAAGAGAAAGCGCGCCACGTGTTTCAAGTCTTCGATAAGAATGGCGATGGGTTTATTGACAAGGATGAGTTTACGTTTTGTTGGAACCATTGGATCAAAGTGGTGAGCTTACGTAATCATTATTATGTTCACTTCACTCACTACACTCTCAATTTCTGCAAATGACCTTAGAGTAACAGAGATCTTTCTCGGAGTAATCAGATATTGTAACTGTGGGAGAGCCTTATTTCGGCAAATATGGCCTGGTTCGGTCGGAGAGAGAGAGAGAGAGAGAGACTCCCAGAAAGCCGGTGTTAACAAAAAGTTTCGATGTATTTCACCATCATAGAATAACATATATGGCAAGCGCCGTTTGCAGTATGTTTTAAACGAACTAGAAAACAGTATTATAGACAAACTTTCAAATAATCCACAGAAATATAAAACGCTTATCAAACCTGTTTACCTCACAATGGTAGTTTCTGTCAATAATACACGGTTATATGTAAAAAAAAGGCTTTTTTTATCACATATAACTATGTACCGCCTGTGTTTTTTTCTTCAATGTTACCGTGCTTATATATTAAATTGTAACCCTGTATCATGAAAAAAATAACAAATTGAGTGCAGTTACTGAAGGTAGGATGTTTCCTCCTTAATTCTGGATAGAGCACTCGCTTTTTTGATATCCTTGTCACTACTAGCATATCCAATATGATAGAGATATGGGTACGCAACCGTGGACCCTGCTCCAATGTCTGCAGTCTCAGTCTCGTTTCCAGACCTGCGCTATCTCTTATCCTAACGCCCTCGTCTCATCCGTTTTCCTCACCTTTAGGACCCCTTCATCTTGACTGAACACATACGCAAGAGTTGATTAAGGCAGTTGATTACGCAGGACAACAATACTGCAAAGAGAAGGAGAACTTGACACAAACCCTATACCAACCCGTCTGGCCAGCGTGGTATAGTAGGCCAAAACCTCCTTTCTAAGGAAAGGCCTATGTCCAGCAGTGGACTGTTAAAGGCTGTTGATGTTGATGATGATGATTAAGGCTGGCTTTAACAAACCGTTAAAACCACCCAGAAACCAAATTTGAGACGAAAGAGCAGGAAATTGATGATGATAACTATTTATGTCAGACCTGGTACTTAGTAAAAGCTTGAATAGCAAAATCAATGGCGTAGGAAATTCAAGTTCTTGCTGCAGTCCTATCACAGGCCAGACATGCCGATACGCAAGCCCAGCCTCATCCAACTGCTGCAGCCTGGGTCCCCTTTCTCCATTCGAGACGGTATCCTTTACCCTAGCTTATTCTCCTTCCTCTATGTTAAAAACGATTACGCTGCGAAGAGAGTTGGTGACATGAACGTGTCTGACCATACAGAGATCATACAAAACTCTGGGATGTTACACACTGCGTCGATCCAAAATAAATTGTAGAAAAGATCTAGAAAATTATGACTATGGTTTGGACCGGCTTCTTAGAGAACGTACCCATATCATGAGACCCAATTTTTAAACCCCCTCCTCTCTGTCGGTAACCACCCGTAGTATAAGCTATGATTTCTCCTCCCTTCTAATTTTTACAAAGTAATTTATACTCTTAACTATGGTATAAAATATTTTTTTTGCAAACAAAAGTTAAAATAATTTGGCTCAGATGTGTGTTCATTAATAAAGCGCTTGCTGTGACGAAACCCTAAGCCCTCCCCACTTCCCAGTGACCAAGGTCAAACTCAAACTCTCTTTATTTCATAAAAAAATTAGAATTAGATCAACACAATAGCAACAATCTCTGTCAAGTAGTAAGTTTATACAAAATCTATGATATGCCTGTGCCGTTCTGCAACCGCCCGTTTCCAAAGGGTCGAGCCTTATGAGAAGAAAGGGCAAACAAACTCCTCGCGTGGTATTTAGACGATTAACCACCATTAAATGAGTCACCTTATCCATTTGTCTGGTGCTCGTGGTGTGACCACTTCTAGGTAACAGTACAACTATCAAATATGTTATATAAAATTTGAACATTTATGCATTAATAATATTTTCTACCTTTACAAATACACTTATCACATCCCATCAACAGCCTTTAATAGTCCACTGCTGGACATAGGCCACTCCTTAGAAAGGAGGTTTTGGCCCACTATACCACACTGGCCAGACGGGTTGCTATAGGGTTTGTGTCAAGTTTACCTTCTCTCTGCAGTGCTGTTGTTCTGCGTAGTTTTCTCCCTTAGTCGGCTCTTACGACGCCCACGGGATGAATAGGGGTGGTGACACTCTGTATTCTTAATCCGTCACCACACGGACACAAATACACGTTTATGTGGTATACAAATTCATCTATTTTACTTTAATCTTAAAAAATAACATTTTCACTAAACAATTAATTTTGTACTGGCCAGATCGTGCGGCCGATCAGCGCGTTCCTGATAGTGGATGTGCAGAACGACTTCATCTCAGGCACCCTGAACATCAGCAAATGCAATGCGCAGCATGATGGCAGCGAAGTGAGTATCATTCTTTTATGTATACCAGTTTTTGACTACGTTCGAAATTCGATTTTCGGATTTGATTCGGTACTAATCATTATTTTCAAAAAAAGAAAAAAAAATTGACGAACAGATAAAAATAAATTCTGTCAGTTGTGTTTATGTCGCCCTAACAGTCTCACCTGATACGTAATAGTACTGGAAATGCGGCGCAAAAAAACCTTCATATTAAAAAAAACTGTCTGCTTTTTCACCGGGATTATACTGGTTAATATATTAGTTTAAAAAGTGCCAGGATAAATACTTTTACTCGAATTATCACGTTAATAAACCAGCCAGTTTCTTTTTTCAAACCGAGTATTCCGAACCTACACAACATTTCGTCAGGATCGTAGAATTGTCGGTTTTGAAAAAAATGCGAAATTCATTGTCTAAATATTATTAATACATTCAAGAAAAAATGATATGTATTTGAGATTTTAAATTACTCAGTGTTTGATAGGCGCTCAAAGTGAAATGAAGCATGTGACTTTTCTAGAAAATTGTATAATTATTAGTTTTTATTTATATTGCATTTTAAAACAAACCCTATCTTTCACTTGTATGCTAATTTTAATTAAAAAAGTTATGTCAAAATCATAACATAAATATTTGAAATGGCTGTCTATAACCTCCCACAATGAATACTTTATTAAACAAAAAAAAACTTTATTCAGAATTTTTTGTGCGTCTACCAAGGCTTTCAACTGCCAACCGCGAAGAAACGTCAAACAACTTAAAAATCTGACTGATATTCGAATCTGGTTGAGTTTGATAACGATATACTCGTAATCTATACTAATATTATAAAGCTGAAGAGTTTGTTTGTTTGTTTGTTTGAACGCGCTAATCTCAGGAACTACTGGTCCGATTTGAAAAATTCTTTCAGTGTTAGATAGCCCATTTATCGAGGAAGGCTATAGGCTATATATCATCACGCTAAGACCAATAGGAGCGGAGCACCAATGAAGAATGTTTCAAAAACGGAGAAAATTTATTACTATTGAGAGACGCAGACGAAGTTGCGCGGGTCAGCTAGTCTTATTATAAAACCAAAAGGTTTTTTACGCGGCTGTACCAAAAGGAGTGTTATGTTTTTCGCGTGTATGTAACCTCTGTGCACCTACCTTACAAGATTTCCCACCCAAAGGTTGATTGGAAGAGAATGCCCTGGGCATTAAGTCCGCCGATGTACAAAAGTGCATAAAGATAAATAAATAAATATATATCTTTGACACGCCCTGTTGCCTAAACGGCCATATTGATTTTGGGCGTTTGAAGTGTCGTTAGATTCGTGTTATTGTGACACTGGGTATATTATAATTATAAAATAAAATATCCTGTTTATTAAGTATATATTTTCACGCAGTGGCTTTTGAGGTGAAACTTCTTCAGAATTGTTGTGATTTGAAACTCGATGAAACGAAAATGCGTCACGATAAAGAAACAAACACAAATGTATAGGATTAAGTCGGCGAGAGAATGAGATAGAATACATTACACATTATTTTTAATAACCTTTTATCTTTTTATTGAATGCTAGCTAGTACCCGCGAATTCGTTCGCGTAGAATTTGAAAAACGCTGCGTAGTGAGTTCGATACCCGGTCCGGGCAAAATTTTACAGGGTATTTCTGAGATAAAAAAAAAATCGGCAGTTTCACTTCTTGTTTTTGAATCAAGTCGTGTTTTTTTCTTTTTGCCTGTCATCGACACTACCACAGATTATAAACTATATATCTTAATATCCAAATAATTATATTCTATATTACAATACATAGGATTAGGACCCTCTGACATATTGAGGGCTCACGATACATTATTCGCCCTCCAAACCCTTTCAAATCCTCCCTTGTTCGTGACTATCGTCAGTATTGTTCGGATTAGCATAATAGGGTAGGTACTCGTCGAAATACGATACAAAGATGTATTATTGTTTTGTACCGATGAAAAATTACGGAAAATGTCTATGCCAAGGACACTATGTAACGAGGCCGTCTATGTGCCTTCACGGGTACATATTGCAGTATATTTTTAGACAACTTAGGTGGTAAAATAACGTACCTCGTGGCTGTTTCGGCAACCTCAAAAGTCATGCAGGCAGCGGCTGCGTACGTTACTGAACCCTTAAGATGTGCCGTGGGAGAGGACTGGTGTCTGCAGTAGGCATGAAACTGTCTAAAATTTTTTTTTTTTTTTAAATCAGTTGTATGCTGGTGACGGATTAAGAATACAAGGTGTTACCACCCCTTTTCATCCCGTGGGAGTTGTAAGAGCCGACTGAGGGAGCAAACTAGGCAGGACAACATACTGCAAAGAGAAGGAAAACTTGAAACAAACCCTATACCAACCCGTCTGGCCAGCGTAGTATATGCCAAACCTCCTTTCTAAAGAGAGGCCTTAGTCCAGCAGTGGACTGTTAGAGCCTGTTGATGTGATGTGTTATGTATGCCTAACACGGAAGTTTAATTTGAAAATGACGACACTGTAAGGGTCCTTCAGTAGTATTGGGACCCTAAAAAAATTTAAGCACTCAAAGTTGCCTGAGACAGCGTGAGTTACATTAATATATTGGAATAAAATATATATATTTATTTATGCGTGGGAGAGACATGCTTCGGGGCCGAATGGGCCGGCTCGACCGGAGTGATACCACGGCCTCGCAGAAAACCGGTGTTAAGTAATTCTTTTGTTGCCTTTCACTGGGTGAGTGAGGTTACCGAAGCACAAATCCTCCCGCTGACTCGAGCGTGAGGGACTCCAAGGGCAGCAACGCACTTGTGACTTTTGAATTGCTCACCATCAGGTGACCCGTCCGCTCGTTTGCCCCCTAATACCATAATAAATAATAACAATAAAATCTGAAATACAATAAATATTTTCTATCTTTAATATAAGCTAATGTTATAAAATTTATTGACACATGGCACTTTAAAATAGAATAAACGGCGATATCTGTGCTGCTGACACCGAAATCATAATTATCTTCAGTAAAAAGATTAAGCTTTTACAGCCTTACTTAGACTGTAGTGTTGTTGGAAGATAAAACACCTGCTCCAATAACTAATTACATAATTCACTCCTGAAAAAAATCACCACTGACTTTAATGAGTAATAAACTATATTCTTCATCCCTTACAACTTTAGAATTGGAATATTTAATTTGATTTTAAATAGGACTTTGTTAAAATACGACTAATTAAAAAAACCTTGAAATCGGTAGAAAAATAATAATATTTAGGACATTTAACACACAACGCCATCTAGTTTCAAACTAAGCAGAGCTTGTACTATGAAAGCTTGATTGACTGATAGAATACTTATATACTTTTTTTTGTACATTTATATACATAGAAAACACCCAAACTCCGAAACAAATATTTGCAGACCATACAAACATTAGGTCAGACCCTGGCATCGAACCCGAGACCTCAGCACAGCAGTCGCATACGCTACCATTGCACCACCTTTCCTTTTTTTCGTCGTTTTTGTTTGTGTGGTGTAGGGAGCAAACGGGCAGAAGGGCCACCTTGGCAAATGACCACCGCTGCTCATATCAAGAGTCACAAATGCGTTGCGTCCTCTGAGTGACTCAATTGGAAGGTTTGTACTCCGGTAACTTCACTCACTCGTTGAAAAGCAACGAGAGACCACTTAACACCAGTTTTCTGTGAGACCCTGGTATCACTCCGGTCGAGCTAACCCATTTATGCCAAGGAATAGCACTCCTCCTGCCCACCGCATTAGCAAGCTGAAGCTGAAGTGGCCATATTAGGGAAAACGAGTTCTTGAGTGGAGACCGCGTCTCGGTAAACGTAGTGTAGGACGCCACAGGCCAGGTGAAGTGACGATCTGCGCAAGATGGCTGGCAGGAGCTGGATGCGAGAAGCCTGAAATCGGTCTAAGTGGCGTGCAATGGGAGAGGCCTATGTCCAGCAGTGGACTGCGATAGGCTGATGATGATAGCACTCCTCCGTCTTTTTGAAGTCAGTTCAAAAGACACAAAACCGTTTTATCGATGCATTGGCCTTTAGAATCAAGAGGGCGTATTATGACGTCACATTGATTGCCCACGTCGCTTACACGATGCGTGTTATCGACGGTTACGTTAGATCGATGATATTTCCACGGGAATGAGTATTTTTATAGATTTTTGATAAAATAACCTAGATAGTGGGTTGTGACGCATTATCGTAATATGTTTGCGATGTTTTTAGAGGATTTGTTTTGTTTTTATTTTAAGTCAGTTTTCAATGTCATCTAATGAAGATCTGCACGGATGAAAAAAAATCAGTCAGTAACAAGATGATACATAATTTTACGGCCATTTTTCTTATCTCTGTCTCTCTCAATATAAGGGCCAAGCAATCGCCACGCCTCTCTTATTTTCTGCGATCTCTTTGACCCCTTGATAAGCCACGATTCCCACTTTCTCCTTCACTTGCTGTATGTACGTTGATCTAGGCCTTCCTCGTTTTCCTTTGCTTTCTATTTTTCCTTCCAGTATTGTTTTAAAGAAGTTAATGTGTCTTATCACATGGCCAACCATTTTGCCTCTTTTGTTTTCAACAGCATTTAAAAATTCCCTGTTTTTTTTATCTATCAAACTGATGTTCATCATCCGCCTCCAGCACCACATTAAAAAATAAAATGTCCGTGTGGTGAGGAATTAAAGATACGGAGGGTGACACCCCTATCGTCCCATGAGTGTCGGAAGAGCCAAATGAAGGAGCAAACTACGCAGGACAACAGCACTGCAAAGAGAAGGAAAACTTGAAACAAACCCTATACCCTGGCTGGAGAAGCCTATGTCCAGCAGTGGACTATGAAAGGCTGTTAATGATGATGATGACTACATTAAAAAAACACGTGTCGATTGACCCATAAAAAGTTGATTTTTAAACTCTTTACCTGCGTTACGTGTAGATATTTTACATACGCACAGATAAAAAAAATATCGTGTGGAAATTTTGACACGTC